GATTATAATACAGAGGATGAAGTTCAACCTTCTGACGATGAATCGGTGGAGAGTGATGAAGTGTTTACTATGTAATATTCTTAACTATTAGATCATAATATTTTATAAATATGCGCTCTATTTTAGGAAAAATTGGATGTTTAACCTCCAACAATCTAATAAAATGAGTTACTGTGTATTGTGTGATTATCTCATAACAAGAATTAATTTCAAAAGACACACTAGAACACGTCATCATTTAAGATTTCTATCGTTAATACACAAGGATGAATTTATTGCAGAGTTAGTGTTTTGGTATATCTAATCCTTTAATAAAAATTAACGAATTTTTATAATTGTAGTAAAACGGCTGATAAAATAAAAAATGAGACGTTGTCGTTTATTGAAAATAATAACTTTGTTAATGATGACTTACAGAAGAAGTATGACTGGATTTCTTATGACCCGCAAAACTCATTAGTGGCTTTGTGTAAAGTTTGTAACAAGGATATTACCCATCCTTGCTCTGAAACTAAATTGAAGGTGCATGAAAAAATTGCTCATGGTAAACAGAACCCAGTCGAACTTGTCAATCAGATGAAAGACGAAAGTGTCAATCAGATGAAGAATGAGACACATAATGAAGTGTCACATTCCGAATCTGAAGAGAATTCGGAAGATAGTCAGGACGAAGAAAGTGATTATAAAACGTATATACGATTATAAAACTAAGTTATTTAGTTAACTAATTTCGATAATGTTTTAGGTACCAAAAAAAGAGAATCAAACGACTGTCCGACGAATGGTTCAGAGTTTACAAGTGCTATCGAAAATCTGACGATCCACAGTATATATATTGTAATTATTGTAAGGTACCATTGCTACCTACATTTTCTCGCTACAAACATGAAAAGTGTGCTCGTCACCAACAGGGAGTCAAGCGTAGTTTGTTGGAAGAACGTAAAAATCAGTTAAAGAGGTAAGAATTTAGTATTTTATTTCTTTCGCTATATTTTATTTATTCTATTTTCGCGGAAAATATGTAGTAAGAGCAAATTGCATCTTGGAGTTTTTAAGCGGAGTATTGAAACTAAATCTCTAAAGTCGAATGATATAAATAATATGAAAGTAAAAATTATGCATTTACAAAAAAATCACCCTTGGGTGCAATACAATCCTAAAGAACTTCAGCCTGATTATGTCCTTTGTACTATTTGCAACGACCGCGTTTTCGTACCTACTTCGGATTCTGTTAAGAAGCATGAAAAAAAACATTATGGAGGAGTTAATAAAGTTGTATATAGAAGAGAAATCGAAAATCAATTCAGTTACGATAATATGGAAAATGAGAATAACATAATAAGTGAATCATTGCAATGTGAAATATTGATGCCTGAAGATCCAAAGTCTGACAAACATAAGAAAAATATGCAAAACATAGATACTAACGACGAAGTTCAAATCTTAGAAGAGCCTTTTATCAAGTAAGTAAATAAAAAGTTTTTGTTGATAATGTTAATTTTTCAATATTTAATTTTTGAAGGGTTGAGAAAGATGACGGAAGTATTTATCAAACTAATCCAAAACGTATCCAGAACTCAGACACAGAAGAAACTATAATGGCTAAACGAGGAAAGTACACAGAAGCACATCAATCCGTAGATGATGCCATTAATATTCTTTGCAAATATAAAGATAAATGCACAAATGCCAATTCTTCGAAATCAGAATCAAGTAGAAATACTTATGATTTGTTTTTTGATAGTGTCAGTGAAACTGTTAAAAAGCTTCCAAATGATTTAGCAGCTGAAGCCAAGGTGCGGGTTTCTAGTATTATATATGAACTTGAAGTACGTGCAATGCAGCGCGAGCAAGAAATTGTAGATTCTCAGAACTTGAGTACAGCAACCATAAACGAAAATTCAATAACCCAAAATGAAAATCATAATTTAATGAACAACTCTGATGGTCATAATTCGTTTGGTAATATAAGCACTATACAACCTTTTCGTACCATTCCACTTACAGGACAACCGGCGTCACCAGTAAATCCTAATTCAAAATTGAAACTGCGTATACAAAAACATATTACTAAACCTTCATCATCGACACCAGTGGCATCGAGCCAAAAACTTCTCAGTTTTGTAAGGACATCTGAACAACAATTAAGAATTACTTCAAATGGAGAATCTATCGAAAATTTAGGTGATAACCAAGAAACGGAGACAATTATTTTGGGTAAAAATCAAACTTCTAATCAATTGAATCCAACTGATCGGCAAATGACTGAAGCAAGCAGCACAGGTTTGCGTGCGCGAAGTCTAGAGTCTATGTTACAAAATGCAGTGCTTCCAGTTAAGCTTACATCTCTGCCAACATCAAACCTTCGTCAAACTAACTTATTTAACTTTAAAAATGGTGTGATACGTACTAAGTCGACCACTGACGCTTGAAAGAGCGAAATTTTAATTAGTAAAGTTAAAGTTATTGTATAAAGTTCTTTCGAACTATAAGTTGGTAACAGTTATGTTTGTCATATTTATTAAATCTTTTTTTCCAGTTATTATGTAAAATTATATTGATGTATTGTTAAAAATGCGGAGGAACCAATGCATAGAGAGATTGCTTTTTTTATAACTAAAGCGATCAAAGTCTACACAAGTAAATTATGTCGCGAACTATCACTGGTATGAAGTAACAACAATTATGTATTGCAGAACACCATTCCAGAAATTATGTGAAATAAAAAATTTTAACATATTACATAAGCATAAATTTTGTTTTTTGATTCGAAATAATTTCATACATTATATTTATTTTTGATACTATTAAAAGTGTATATATGCATTCATACATAAATACAGAATTCTTGTATATTTGTTTACGAATTAAGTTCTGACCTATCATTATTTTAATGTTTAAACAGGAATACAATCTAAAAAATACTCTGCTCTAAAAAGGTTTATTGCTAAAAATCAGTCAAATTAGATAATAAAGTTTTAAAAATTATAGACAATTTACTATTTGTCTTTTTGCTGTTGTAGTAATTCGCAACAGCCTTTAGGGGAATCACCTAACTGTTGGTCCACAATTTTCTCCACACTTGCAATTGTGATTAATTCAATATCTTTTACGGGACCCAAAATTCGGTTCGAACGCAACATAAAACTATTGTCTGGTCTCTCATATTTGGTTAATTTGCCTCCTGTTGAATTATTGGTTTGTTCTCCAGAACTTGGATTGCTTGCGCTGCTGTTGACCGTTCCCTGCATACCGTTTTCAAAATTCGTTAGAACTGCTTGGTTTTCATAATTTGGTGGCACATTCTCAGATGAAAAGTTTATGGCGCTTTTTGCTTCATTGGCTTCCGTCGCTTTGTCAATTGGGATCGTACGTCCGTGCAATGGAAACATGAATTTGATATCCAGAAAACTGCAAAGCTCTTCGATACCGTCGAGCGCTTGATTTAATTCAATATTGTTTTGATTCGTTAAGTGTTTGCGCACTGTGTCCAAATACAGTTGTAACTTGCTATGCGCGATTGCGATAACAGTTCGAGCGTTTTTTAATTCTAATTGAAGGACTTCAGGACTCTAATTATGAATAAAATAATAGATATAGAAATAAATAATAGATAAAAGATTACAAAATATGTTATAGTGGAATATGCTATAGAAAAACAGCGTACATTTTTGGAAAGACCATCCATTATAATGCGATTAGAGTCTGCACTAGTGGCTAATCTTGCTATAGTTGCAGCATCAGCAGCATTTCTGGCTTGTAATTCTGCTATTCGCTGCTCCAATCGTAACGCATTGCTTACAGATGTAGTTCGCGCACGCGTGCGTTTCTCTTCTTGAGAATCCATATATTTTGATATTTTTTCATCACCTGTTGCAGCCGATTGCCTTGGCAATCCTGCTGGATTGCCTTGCTTGTTGTTCGTGGCAGATGGTATGGTAAAATAAATGAAAGCATTTTGTGGCCTTTCAAATTTCTATATAAATGTATAAAACATTGTACATTAAATGTAAAATCGTTACTCATGTTGTATATTAATGGAACTATACCTTGGGCATTTGCATATGTAGTGCATGTTGAAGTATCAAATTAACGTCCACATTCGTTGGATAACGCATAAGATAAGTCAGGCAAGTGGTATAATCGCTGAGAAGTACTATAAGAACAAGTAGAATACATTGAAGATTTTGGTATACATATATGAAGTATTACATTTATTTTTGTTTTAGTATTAGTCTTACATACATTTATCACGTATGCGAATAAGCATCGCTACTAATATATAATTCGGTAATTCAAAACGATCGCTATCCGCAAATATAGCGTCCCAAAGCACCAATAAATCAAGCAGAGGGAATTCTCGTCCAAACAGCAAACGTAACCAACGTCTATAAAAAAATAGAAGCACTTTAATGTGACTATCGCTCATGGGGATGAGAAAATAAATATGTTTAAACCTATATTGCTTAGTTGGGTTCATTTGGGTTATTTGATCTATAAGATATTCGTTTCTAACATATTTAATAACGACGATTAAAGTCACGAACTATTTGCAAAGTAATTAATTTAGGTTCAATCAAATCCCTCAATTGGAGGAATACCGTCAAATTGGCTGCGTTTTCGAAGTATATTTATTTTCTACCAAATACAAATAAGTGGAAGTAGTCTCCTCTTTACTGCAATTCAGTCATTAATTGGTTCGTAAAGGATATTAATGTGAAAAATTGGCGTCAATCTTCGACAATATTGGAGAATATCAGTTTATTTCACTTAAAATTATGTTATGCTTACATGCCAAAGATATGCAATGGTATTTCCAGTTTAAGTAAATAATTATGTAAGTGTAAATCTTCCTTAGCTAATATTTTGTCTCGTATAAAGTTTAATTGACCAATAACTTCCACTTCCGTTGAGTTCGGACCGCAGCTCTATAACAATATTAAAATAAATACTCAGTATAAGATAATTAAATCGTAGTTACGTCTTGCTGAAGTTGTAAGTAGCTGGTTTCAGGTTGAAAGGAATGTGTAATACGATAATATGATTCAATTGAAGACATTAAACGTGAGAATATGGAACTAAAAAAAACTATATTTGTATATTTTCAAAACAGTAGCACTAATATAATTACTATGAATCTGCTTCCAAGAAATCTGGATTGGCAACATCCAAAAGTGTGGCACTATTAAAAGAAATCATATAAAATTATTTTCACATATATACATTTTAGACATTTTTACTTTATTTCTCCTTTGGATATTTCAATAAAATGTAGCAGAGATTGATGGTCTCCGTACATCACGAATAGTATTGGCGCTAAAATTTCATGCATGCCTTGGCGGTAAGCCATATAAGGATGTACGCGGGCAAAGTAAAATAAGATATTACTCTAGAATGTATTGTAGTATCATGTGTTTAACAAATAGATTTGTTCTTGGCTTACCATAGCATTCTGAATAATGGATTTACGAAAGAAATCTACACCTGGAAAAGTGCGAATAACATCTTGACGTATCACTGTAAATAATTCTTGATCGCTAAAATATTGATTCCAGACACTCTGTAAAAGAATGTAATTAGTGAATTAGTGAATGTATTAGTGAATTAAAATACAGTACTTGTGTGGATTGTGATAATGGATCATCATTTGATAAATTCATGTCATGTGGATTCTTGACAAATTCCTTCTCTAGCTGTGCATAACTTTATAAAAGAAGTAAATTTTTGAAAACTAATTTTTTGTATTTATTATTAGTAATCTATCACCGTTTTCTTTGTTGTTCTCTTTGCTGCTGCCAAGATCTGTGATCTGTATTTAAGACTCGCAACAACAAAGCCCAGTAAACGCTCCGAAATTTCGATATTTTCAAATCACCCTTGAAGGCGTGCTCCTTTACGGTTTCAGGATTTTCATCTAAATAATTTAGTAATTGGCACCATTCTTGCCTTAGTAAAGGAATATTTGCATTTATTTTGTTTACACAATCTACATATGATTTGTATTGTTAAGTACGAACCTGTATCTTTCGACAGAAGTCATCGTATCTTCCTGTACGATTTTCTTTGTTTCACGACCTATTTCTTCTCTTATATTTGCATCAATTTGAGATTTGTTTGTTGGTGGCGGAAAGTACAATTTCAAGGCCTCAATACCACGCACAGTCATAATTCCTAAATACTTTGTTTATCAATTAATAGTTTTGATAAAAAAAACATAATCGCTTTATCAAATTCCCACAGATGCAACAAATACAAATAAGTTAAGGGAAGCAGCTGTTCTTCAAAATAAAATGACAACAAAAACCGCACAGGGTGCTTCTATTACTATTTTATACGCAGGAACTTCACACGATGATTAACAAACTGCAGAGAAATGTGGTAAGAATGTTTTCGATTGGTGTCACTTCACATCGATTGGTGTATAGATCTATTAAAATTTATTTTTTGGAAAGCTATTGAAGGGTGACTTAACACTTTTTTTTTAAATATTTGTCCATTCCATTTAAAAATCGGTAATAGTTAAATTTAGTCAAGTGCGAAATTGCGGTCACATTGCATGCGAGTTTTGTCTTGCGAACACATCGCATGTTGCGGTTACATTACTTGCGAATTGGCATATCTGTTTTGTTTGAAAATGAAATCGAAATGGTTAGTGAATAATATATATATTTAGTGGAAAATTCGTTACCAATCATTATTAATTTCAAATAACAAAAGATGAATCTAGGTGCATGATTTTTATTCTTCAAGGTATAAATATGAAGAGTTTGTTTATTCCTCAAACAAAGAAATTAGCAAATCGTAATCCATTTCCTAAAAGTAGTATATGTTTCCAAATTTATTTTCAATTATAAACTTGAGACTTAAAATTACGTGAAAACAATACATATCTCTTAACTTCACTATTTACACCTTCCATTTTGTAATAACGCAACTGCAACCACTCACATATAATTACAAACATTTGAATTGATCGTACGAATTCGCACGAGAAAATTCGCATGTAATGTAAACGCAACCTAATAAAACAGTTAATAATTCTCGCCAGAACAGTTTATGAAGTGCTTTTATAATATTTAATTTCATAGTTATTTTATTTTATAACACGTAATTATATTATATTAAATATTAGAGTTTATTATCATCATGTTAAAAGCATCCGAGTGTTCTCTACTAAAAGTTAATACTATATAATTTATTTAATACTGATCATTATATTGTTTATTATTATGAAAATTAATTAAATAATGTCCATCAAAATCAAAAGTTTGTATTATAATGTAATAAGAAAATACAGATTATAAACAAACAATAATAATATCATTTATCTAAACTCACTGACTGTGCTTATTTTCAATTACTCCACTGAGATGAGTTATAAACTTATGAAAACAGTAGAAACTCGTTGTTGTAGAGAAATACGCTCGTGAGCTACAGAAACGCATTACCTGCTATGAGAATTGATCTGTTTCCAAAGAATTTAAGTGAGTATAATACCAGTGTAAGTGATCTGGAAGATGTTAGTTATTTAAAATTTGCTTTTTCCTGCCTTCTTAATAATTATAAATTTTCACTCTATTGCCAATGATCTTTATGACAACACGGTCAGTGATAATTACCATATATATAGTACTAAAAGATATACAGCAAAAAAAGCTACAGAAACGCATTACCTGCTATGAGAATTGATCTGTTTCCAAAGAATTTAAGTGAGTATAATACCAGTGTAAGTGATCTGGAAGATGTTAGTTATTT